TCAACTAACGTTGGCTGTAAATCACCACGGTCCCTTACATTATGGCAAGCTTTGCGGTCACTTCCTGGAGTTCTGCCATTACGAGTAGGGTACATTTCATTAAAGCGTGTTTTTTAAAAAAGTATTTTAAAATATTACTTATTTAATTCAAACTGTTTCAACGTGTTGCTGTTTCAGCGACTTAATGTGTGCGGGTAGCGTATATGCAGTTAATTATATATTGATAAATGAACTGGCTCCCTGTTTAGTTGATAATCAATCTTTATAAAACAGGACTTACTTAGACCTCCATAAGCCACGGAACCCATCGCAAAGACATAGGTTATGCTGATTGGCCAATTCAAATCAAAGCCCAATAAGAACCTCACCTCCCACTGAGAGTAATAATCTCTGTAATTCATGTGCGGTGCACGACATTTGCTATTCATTTATAATTGTTTACCATGATTATTTTCTTTTACTACAGTCGGCGATGTTGCAGTGTAATTGGATGCGCCGGTTCAATTGTCGCTATTCTAGCATGAGTGAAGGTCACAGAGTGTCATCACAGTGCATCTCAGAAGCTGTATGAGCCCGGCTCACAAAGTCCCCATCGCCCACCTTGCTTTCTCTCAATACATAATTAAACATCACAGCCGCCCACTCGATGCCGCTGCTGTTTGGTACTGATCACGCATGTTGCCCTCCGCCTCTGTGTATCAACAAGTGTAAGTGATCAATAGCCAACTGATGCGTGTGAGCATTGTGGACGCAAACGTATAAGTGGTGGTCATAAAGTTTTGGGAATGAGCTGCTGTTTTGTTTTCATTATGACTGTTTTGTGGCAATGTCAGAAAAGCAGAGCTGGGATATCCAATACATTAAGTAATGGATTGCTTAAGAGATTATTGCTTTGATTACTAGAGCAATTAAATAACACAAAAATAGTTGTGGCACATGTTTCCCACATGTGCCACAGGAAGGGAAGCAATAAGTGGGGCTAGGTGCCGTCATCACATCATCGGCTACGTCACGCTGGCTGTGGCTTGTCGGGAGGGGGTTTCCCACCTTTGGGAGGCAGGATATAGAGGTGGCTGTTAGATTTTAAGTTGTCCGGGTATTCGATGACAATAAACTCATTTTAAAAGTTGTTTTTAAAACAACGGTTTTATTAATCTTGGTTCTTTCGGTAAAGTGACGTAGAAGGGAAATAAAATAATACAAATATAAAACAATACAAATTCTCACGACGTTTCGACTGCAACACAAGCAATCATCAGGTTATGATTGCTTGATGATGCTTGTTGATGATGATTGCTTGTGTTGCAGTCGAAACGTCGTGAGAATTTGTATTGTTTTATATTATAATTATTGTATTATTTCCCTTCTACGTGACTTTACCGAAAGAACCAAGAATATGAATCCCTACAGTCACGAAAGCTTTAAATCAAAACGGTTTTCACAACTGGCGCGCCTGAGACACGTGGCGCCTGGTTCTTGGGCGAGGCGATTCAAGAGTTTAGGGACCGCTGCGTTTTTGACCTACACAAATACATATAAATAATGCGTCCATACAAAATGTAGATTGCTTTAAAGTAGCGAATTAATTGATTAAGTGATGCCGATTTTGAATAAGGCATGCATTGTCACCGGATCTGAGTATGTGTGCAAAATTTGGAATTGATTGGACAACAGGAAGTGGACTAAATTTTGATTGCAAGATTTGAACACGACGAAGGAGTAACGTTAAGTAAAACCGTTGCAAAAAAAGTAGTCCATTATATATTTTTGTTGATTAATCAAAGAATCATCACAGCTCTAAATTAAAGTCTCCATGCTCAATTGGACGTACAGTAGCATGGAACTCATTACCCTTGGCGATCTTGAGCCAGTGAGTTGTGAAAATCCAATATTTCTTTGGCAGAGTTCAGTTTATACATTACCACAAACCCTTAATATTCGCGGGGTTTGTGATTACTGTTTTGTGCTTTCTCAACAAATGTATTGTAGTGCTATTTGAAATGTTTGCGGCCATAGCACTCGACTGCCCGACAAGAATTTGTGAGGAATGGGAGCGGTGTAGATCGTGAGACCGCGAAAGTTGCCCACGTTATGCTCTCCCTCTCAGTCTACCTTTGTCCACCTGCACTTTATTCACCACGTGGGTGCTTTCATGAAAAAAAATACGTCCTGTATAATATATATTGTTTGATATTCGCACTTTTAAATAATAATACTTTTCATTTTATATAGCATCATTCACGTCAACAGCATCCCACAACGCTGTACATTAATTATATATAAGGACCAAATCCAATATACGCGGTTGGCTACATTTTAGAGAAGCCCAACGCACACATACCATCATTATTAAAGGCAAGTTGAATAACAATAATACTATACAATAAGTATTAATTAATATATACACACAGTTTATATGTTTTATGTTAAAAGTAATATATGTTTATGCCCCTAACCCTATTTTCTTCATACGATGTACCTATTAATATTCATATCTCTCTCTCACCTTAAGACGATTGCTTGTGTTGCGATCGAAACGTCATGAGATTTTTTATTATTTTTCTATCTACGTGGCTTTACCGAAAGACCCTTAGAATAAATAATATTCGTATACTTAATAGTCACGATATTCTCCATAAATGTGTCCCCATGAATATTAAGGTTTTGACTAAACAGCCAGCAGTTTAACTTGCTATTAATGGTCTGAAATAGCGTGATTATATGACTACAAAGACAGGAACATCAAACACAGGCATTAATATGCCATAGTATTTGAGGTGGATCATGGTTAAGTTCTATACTGCAGTTTTACACAAAGATAATTGTGTTTCAAATATCATTTCACTGTAGGAAATAAAGGCTGAACAATTGTCACTTTGGGTGCAAGCATGAAAAAAGTGTAACATCTGATAATCGACTCGACAATGTGTGATAAACATAGAAAAACTCATAAAATTGTGTTTAATTATGAACAGCTAACATATATTTCAATAAAGAAAGCGTAATTGCCCCAGACAATAAAAAGCAGTTATATTAAATACTCAAAATCTAAAAAAATACGTAATTAAAATTGCAATTACGATAAGGCCCATTCTGCCATGTGCATTATCTTGTGTAATGTATATTTAATACATATGCTCAGCCCATGGGTTTGCCTTAAGCACTGTTTTAATGGAATACTTTGATTTCTTACTGCATATCAACAGTGACGTGAAATTAATCAGGACTATATTACTGGTAGGAACCTCCTGGTTACACCAGCCAACAGGGGATTATTGTGTCCGTCCGTCGTGCAGGGAGGGGCTGGGTGGGGAGGGAGGGGCTGGGTGGGGAGGGGAGGGTGGGGAGGGGCTGGGTGGGGAAGGGAGGGTGGGGAGGGGCTGGGTGGGGACGGTGGGGCTGGGTGGGGGGTGGAGGGTGGGGTTAGGTGGGGGGTGGGAGCGGTGGGGCTGGGTGGGGAGGGGCTGGTCACCCCGTACGTTTAACCTACTCACGCCGGCTTGTGCCCGCCCTCACAGTCGGCCATATTTGCGGAATACACCACGCCGCCGTTGACCCTGCAGGCCATTGACCGAGCAACCCAACGTTCCTACCAGCTCCCTCCGCAGGAATGTGTTTCCCACTACATGTAAGTGTGAAGTCGTTGCTATTTGTTTGTGGGTAATAGGCTACACACTGCAGTAACAGCCCCATGTGTGCTCGTGCACTCGCATGTTACGGTTGATCATTGTCCAAGTAATTGAACATGTACGTTAATTTGACTATACTGTATTGGGCATATTCATGGAAATATTTAGTGGAGATTATGTAATGTCTGATTTGTGAATCCTATTTGAAAACATTACAATTCTCATAAGTGATAAAGCAGTTGTGGAGATGTTATAAAAGTTTTCCTGGGCAGTGTGCTTACTCCAGTTTGGCAGTGAAGGTGTCACTCCAAATAAGCTGTGTAACATAAATACTACCTGGCCTATCACTTCATACGAAACTTTGTGTCTTCTCGAACGCAATCATTTATCTTTGCCTATGAAACGTGGATCCCTTTAAATTGATATCTGCACTGGTAGAAACCTTCAGGCAAACCTGCCTATGATCCATCCTGGGTTTAACCAGACTGAATTGTGTGTGGAGGTCAGATATCCTTGAAAGATCTTGACACAGTCCCATCAGTGAGCTCCTCTGGCAGGTGAGGCTGCATTGTCTGGGGCATCTTGCCTGCATGCCTTGCTACCGCATCCCCAATCAGCTTTTGTTTGGCTGGAAAGAGGTGGGCTAAACTTTGTGGCACGGGCGAGAGAAGAGATGGACTGATGAGGTACAGAAAGTTGTGGAGCTTATTGGACGGCATATGGCTGTTGCTAGCAGTGTCAAGATCAGCCTGTGTGGAGGAAGCTTGTGAAGAACGCTACTGGGATATCGGAGGGATTTTCAACTCCAACAACAATAAAAGACAGGAGTGATGCTCACAACAACAAGCACATATAATGCAATGAGGTGGCACAGTGGGGAGTACAGTTGGTGCAAGTCATTTCACTCAGTCAACCCATAACACCTGGGTCTGTCCCATGACCTGCCAGCGAGGCTTCAACATTTCATATGGCATCAAGGTGCATCTAGCCTGGTACAAGTGCCGTAGTGATGTAACCGCCACTTAGTGGCGTACGGGGGTTGTGTATATGGAGTTGTGGAACCATGGTTCGCACAACTGTTCGATGAACCCAACTATGGATTAAATCAATGACACGTTATTATCGAAACCTGACTTGGCTGGTTGTTATCTCTTATGTCAACAGTCATATATTAATATTCTATTTAAGATTGATATGTGTCCTTTCCATGGGTATGTGTCACATTGTGCAAACACGAGCACTGGGTGTGGTGATGGCTGCACCAACTATGCCTTGCACCACTCCTGGCCTAAATAGGTGCTTACTAACAGAACCTGCCCCAGCAGTCTGTATGGTTACACGAGAGATCTGTGCCTTTGTTTTTGTGTGCAGCCGTGCGAGGTTGATACTGTGCGGATCCGCTCGCGGTTCATACAGCGAATGCCAGCAGATGGAGAGATGTGCCCCGATGACACCGAGTCAGAGCCATGCACCCCACAGCACTCCTGCTTCTACTATCACTACAATGCGACCGGTGCGTGTGTATGTGTGAACTCATGGTTGCGTGTGCGTATCGGTTTGCTTATGCCCACAACTGTGCTTTATGATGTTTGCTGCTGTTTTTTTTTTATAGCTGACTGCCATGCAAACATTTTTTGTGTTTCGTGTTCATAAGCAATACACGTAAAAATAACACCGATGACCAAATCACTCAGAATGCACCCAAACCTGTCAGACCTTGGAAGCAAAGTAGAGTTGAGCCTGGGTAGTGCTTGGATGCGTGACCACCATGCATGTAACAGGTGTAAAAGGTGCTGTGGCCAATAGTGAGCAGTGCTTCAAATTTAAATGTTCTGTACTGCTGCCCGACCTTCACCAGCCGGCATGACCCTCACTGCACGGTGTGATGAGGCCATCATCCAGAAGTGGATTGACAAATCGACTGCTCATGTGCTTGTTCAAGAATGTTTGAAGTCTTAAATCGAGGATTTATTTTTGGTAAGATTTTTAGACAGCTTTCGTTGATCAAAACAGTAGACTTCTTAGACTCCTGAAGGGACACTTGTCGATTGGATTGGTAATTACTATCGTCCCTTTTTGGACTGCTGCCATATGCCGTTGTGTAGCCACTACACCGCTCTGCCAACATTTTCCCAAAGAAAAAATCAATGCTTTATTATTCATTTAAACGTAGTAGGGAAACACATTTTCAGACGCGACGCTCGTCAAATGTTCTGAGAAGGGACATTTTAAGCGTGTGCATTACAACTTTAGTAGCACATTCTGGTTGTCGAGTTAAATAACTCCTTTATGCTAGCCCATAATAAATACATTGCGTGTACGTGCTGAACTTTGTAATACATATATCATAGGGAGGTAATATGCACTGACTGAAAACTTCAAGCACTGGTATTTTGCTTCTCACTAAAACAATTAACAAAAATATTGTGCTCTCATTTCCCTCTTTATTTAATCATTTTTATTCAGATCCTACCGAAAATAATTGTTCTAGCTATGAATGTTATTATTGGTTTTCCAAGTTGAGTTTTTGAGTTGTCTAACTTTGCAATTATATTTGTTAAGTTCGTCTTCAATTCCTTCCCACAATTAATTTCCATTGGCCATTATAACGACTATGTCATGACATTGTTAATCATTTCTTTATTCACGTTTATGCCTTTATTACTCCAGTCTAATTTTTGGACAATATATTTTTATTCGGCTGTGAATAGCCATTGTGAGAGAGTGTCTCGTTGTCTCACTCTTCATTGGATTTGTATTTTGGTGCTTATTCATGCAACCTCATTGTAACTTTTCATTTATTATAGACGACTTTGGCCATTTCTATATCATCTTGCTTTATTACGGCCTTAGTTTGTGAAAATTGCACAACTTTTGCCTGCATTAAATGCCTTTTTCATAATTTACAAAAGCCAGGCATAATTATATTTGGTATTTGCTTATCTTTTCTAAGATCTAATTGATAGTATATATGTGGTCAATGGAAGAAAATATTTCAAAATCCAGCTTGCTGGTTGATTGGCCTATACCTTATCCTTTATTTGGTTCCCGATGATCTCCGTGAACAATTTATAGGCTTGTGATAGGAGGCTTATTGATCTATCTGTTTCAAATCAGTATATTTTTCCTTTTTGAAGAGAATAATGGTTGAGGCATCACTCCACTAATGATCTTTTAATTTATCAGTCAAATTTAGTTTAGCCTATCATATTTTAAAAGATGGTCTAACTTCTTTGATGGTGTTCACAATTATTTTATCTGGTTGGGAGATTTCGATGTTTTCACACTGAAGGGTGGTAGTTACTTCTTCAAGTTTGACATCTGGAGTCTCCTCGTTGTCTAAACAATATTTTCCCCTAAAGTATATGATTTGTAATTTTTATGCTTTAGAAATCTGCGTAATAATCCTTCCATAGCATGATTCAGATTCCAAGAACACTATCCTTTGTGCAAGCACTTCCAAGAGTTCATGAACAGTGAGCCTGGTGAAATTTGGGGAGCGCATCGTCAGTAGTGTACCTTTGGTTCCTAGGGTGTTTCGGCCTTTCATACTATACACCCTCCCCAAAGGCGGCCAGCGACAGGGTGATCAATCCTATGCTTGCGTCCCATTCCCAATTAGTCATAGGAGTTGCCTTGTTGTTGATAGCCAACATCCCATGGAACTATGCATGGCAGGGGCGTCCTCCTCCCTGAGTCAAGCATTGTTGACCGCATACCTCCTGGCCCTCTCACTTCGGGGCCCAGCTGGGGTCTTTCCTCTTCATCCAGAGCCACTGACTGCTGCCTTCTGCCGCCTCCGATACAGCTCTGATTGCATTATTGTTCAATATTTATCCCTCAAGGGCCACAATTTGTTATTTACTAATCATGCATTTAAATGTTGCTGCTTATATGCTGCCATTATATATTGCAACATCGTCATTCACTTTTGTGTTGTGTCCTCTGATTTCCGTTTCCATTGTTTTCCTAATGGTTGTATGGACAAATTGGACTATAGGGTTCAGGTGTGTGCAGTGTTGATCCAAGAATATCTCGCTTCTGTGCTTCACAATAATATGCCGAGGAGCCACGAAGTTGACTTGATAATCACACATCAGTGTGTTTAATAACGACATGCACAAGTATAATTTTACTCGTGTATGTATCCATCTACTGGCTTACAGTGGTGTGTACTGGGAGTTGGAAGGAAAGTTCCTCTGCTTGGGCATTGTGGTATACGTGTTTGGATAAGGCGATGTATATTTGGTGCATGTTTTAAATGTTGTTTTTATGTGCTCAAGTGGTTTGTAAAATTGCTAAGGCCGGATACTCAGTCCTGTTTCCACTTAGAGTCTGCAGTTAATTTCCTGCACCCACTCTAATTTCTAAAGGGAATTACCAAACTATAATGTGTGTTGTAAAGTCGAATTAATATAACATGGTTTGGCAAGGCATATTCAATTAAGCCTTTGTGCTCACGTTTTCAACCCAAATCTCAAAGTATAAAGTGATGTAAAACCATTAAAAGTCGTATTTTACCCTTAACAACTATATTAGTAATTATATTTGTATAGCATCCTAATACTAGGAGGGACTCTAGACGCTGTACAGGAACAGCTATTCCCATCAATTGGTATGGAGGAGACATCATGTAACACAGTGATCAAGCACAAATAACCGTAAAACAAAAGGTGAAAATTGGCTTAAAATGTGATAAAATTCAAACTCTATCTGACCAGATGCTAAAATCATATGCGGTGTAACTCTATAGTCATCCTGGTGTCATTTAAAAATGCAGGACAACCCCTCTTAATGAGCACCCCTGTTAAAGACTAATCACTTAACGACGGGCCTCCATAGAGCCCAATGTATTTGCTTACTGACCATTCCCCTGTTAGCGATGGGCTGTTGTTGGTACATTCAATTTTAATGAATGCATTGATTAACGATATTTATTTTAATATTATTTTCTTATAATGTTGTTAGTATCTTTATGTATTAATTTCCATTATTTCAATATTATAAAGTATTGTTTTTGGGTGAAAAAGGGTCACTTTCGATGCTATCAGAACGAATTAAGCCTTTAACATTTATTTCCTATACTCGCTTATTGACCAAATCACTTAACGACCGATTTTGTGGAACCAATTACAGTCGTTAAGAGGGGTTCTACTGTAAAGCTCACGGATCCCGAAGAGCTGTCACCTGGTCAAGAAAAGAGCGTACTGTGCTGTTATATATGTGTGTGTGCTCTCTTGTGGCATGCACGCTCTCTGTGCATTGCTCACAATGCAGGATGGGGGTCGTGCGTGCTGGGCGGCCCTGCGGTGTGTGGCCAGGGCAGCCGGGCACGTGCCCTGGAGTGCGTTCGTAACGACCTCAAGCCCGTGGACTTGCGCATCTGCCAGGCGGTGAGCAATGGGCGCATCTCACAAAGTTATTGCCACAAATGAACCACCGATACCTTGCTGATCTCATCAAGGAGCATAAACCATCACACAAACTCTAGTCATTCTCACAGCGGCTTTTGGCTAACCATCGAGCAAAGATGGTCACTGCATCACCCGCTCTCAGATGCGCTTCTGCGGCCGTCTGGAACACTCTTCCGATATTAGGAAGCCACTGGAGCTATGCACTTTTAAATCTAGATTGAAACGTATTTCTTTATAACTCTTTTTTATGTTTAGTTTTCTTTCAACCGCACCTCCGATTAGCACAGTTGGCTACATAAGGTATGAAAGAAGTTAAATATACATACAACTCTATCTCTTCCCACACCTTCGTTTCACGTTGCGAGGCAAAGGGATGGGTGAGGATATTGTGTGAATAGTCAGATTTAGAGGCGTATTTCTTATTTAAATATGTTTTATTTTAATGTCATCACTAATAGCGTTGTATTTGTATTATGAGTTGTGTCATAAAGTGAAGAAATATAATTCTAGCACTCAGAACCCATCGTCTTGTCAGGGAACCAACCAAGATTGTGACACAACAGGGTACATTTTCTTCTAAAGCGGGAAAATTATTCCCAAGACACTGGAGCTCTGGAGAGCCCTTCTACAGGGTATTTGGCCTACCCTTCCACGCTGGCCAGATATCTTGGAAGAGGTGTAGTTACTCACACACACTTTACCTCACCATATGAGACCTACTGATCAAATTATCTGTGGTGAACCCTTTTATACTGCTGGGTTGATAAAAGCAGGGGTGGGCCCCGGGGGGAGTTTTAGAAACTTGCCCATTCTTTATATTGCCACGACGGGAGATTGAATCGACGATAAGTGGACTGCAGAATAAATAATGCATTGTTAATCATATGCTAAATAGAGCTCCCTGAAAGCTATTTCCATTGCTTTTACAGTTTTGAACTTCTGCACAAAACTGTCTAATGTTAGTGATTCCCTTATGACATTGGTTACTTTAACTGGGCATAATTATAGCATCCATTAAATAACACCTTTCTAGATATATTTTATTAACCAGGATATTCATTATTAGCTCTGGGATTTGGGACTTGTTGATGAAAAACTGCGCATGATTTATATGACATCGCATTTTATTAGAACGGTTGGAATGCATTTTAGGGTGGGAACCACGGGGCAGACTGAAGCTAACAACCCTTTTACAGTTATCTGAGCCCCTAGGCCTGATAGAAGTTGGAACAAGTGATGGAAGTGGATGGTCAGGGGTGAAGGGGAAGGAGAAAGAGGAGTGAGTATTGGTGGGAGAGCACTGGCTAGTTCGTTTGTGCCCGTAGCTCCATTGAAATACCTACAATGAAATACTACTGCCTTAGTTTTGGCATTTGTGCTGTATATCTCTCCGATGTGTTTTTGTGTTGTATCGTGTTTTGTGCGGTACGATGTCCGAAGTTTTTCTTCACGTGATGGGACATCATCCCAAACAACATGTGGCGTTACAACCTGAACACATGAAATAGCCCTACAATGACGACTTCACCTTTTTTATATATATTTCGGATGGATTGATCCGCTGAGATACCTCCATTTTAGTTATCAGGATGTGCAGAGCTCATATTTGGAGATTCATTTGCAGAGCAGATGATTTGAGTCAGTTGTCAAATTACAGCACCCTTTATGACCTTTGTTGAATGATTTTGATTGGGTATGAATGCACCACTTGCGACCGGTGACCACACACTTGGGCAACGCCGTGCAAAAAGTCAGAGGTGTGAATCAACTTGTCGAACTTTTATGTTTATTATCTCAGCCGTGAGTGTGGTGAGCTTGCTGCTTGATTGCCCAGCCGTTTGATGGCACTTGCATGTGTGCAGTGAATGCCAACAGTAACAGTAACGCTGATGAACACATCCGTGATAAATGTGTCCAGTGTGTCATTAATATTGGCAAGGAACACCTCCCAGGCATCTGTATTGACCTTCTAATAGCAGTGGTACATCCAGCAATTGTCTCATAAAGAAGGAGGTTGTCACGATTCATGGGGTGGGTGTGAACACAGAAATATTTGTGTTCAGTAAGAACACATTTTGCAGACCATTAGTAATGGCTGAGGGAAGCACGAGAAAATGGCCAGGAGTATTCCACCTCAGCCTCCAATGTCTCTCATCCACGTTCCTTTCTATTAACTCACTGAGAAGAAGACATCCGTTGTACATTATCCTGTTGTCCCACTCGTTTTTTTTCTTCCAAGGTTGGGTTGCCAAAACTGCATGTTACCTGCCAAGCCCTGTAGACTCACACAACGCACACATGCACATACCCATGTGCACACATACACACAATCTCATTCATAACAAAATACATTGTGCTGTTTCTCTTAGCTTCACAGCACCTCTGGGATACATTAATCACAACAGCGTATTAATATGTAATGCGAGTATCGTGCAAACTTAGCATATGAGTAACCCTCATGCACAGGAGCCTCACCCTGAATGCCAGTACATTACAGCATCAATTATTCACGGGTGACTTAAAATTGTGCCCTGGATTATGGATGCTCTCGGCTCGTCCACTCGGAAATATATCCTATTTGGCTTCTGTCTGGCAAGAGCTACAAATCAGAGTGTGTTCACTGCTGGTGCGGCTCACGGGACTTAGCTCACCTCGGTTCCTCGCCGCTCATAAACCCTCTTCCCCCACAAACTCTGTTTATCCTGTGCCCCCCAACCATCACCACATCCCCCAACACTCCCTCTCGTGGGCCCCCTTAGAATGCTACTAATTGCCGCTGTATATCATGATGGTAGTGATGCGGCGTTGGATATGGTGTGTGCTTTGGAGTGTTTGACTCAACAATTTGTGCCCTTGTGCATTTAAAATTTTCCCCTGGCATCTGCAACTGAGATTGTGTGTCGTGTTAATGTGCTGCCATTGAACACTAAAGAGTGCCTTTTTACCGCCGTCAATTGCTGATTGAATTTACGCAGACAGTGCGTTGATTCTGCAAACATCCGTGCATTCAAGCAGTGGTCTAAAAAGTCAACTTGTGAATATCAGATGTAAACAGTACCTTGTGTACTGACTCATAGTAATGCATTAACTGCAATACTGTATAAGTAATTTGATGTAACATTAAGCTTCTCGCTATCGAATCGTTTTGAATTTACATTACATATGTAATGAGACGACTTCCGAGACACGACTTGTAGAGGGTTTCTTATTTTTCTTAATACTTAATGACAGGGTCACAGAGTAATATAAGCGCTGACTGACTTATAGCTTAGCCATCCATACAGCGACATTGGCGACGTACAACCATATAGCTGGCTGACTATATGGTGACGACGGCGATGAAGACTGTATAGCTGGCTAGCTATACAGCAACGACGACGAAGAGATGGCAACAATGACAGTAACGACAGCCAGGACCCGAACCCCCACGACAGCCCCAAACCCCCGTTTGCCTCTTCCTTATATTCACCCAGCATGGCCAAGCCCCACCCTTGGCCACGCCCCTCTTTTGGAACTCTCTCGCGGGTTCCTGGAGATTCCAGTTCGATCCCCTCTTTGACCCTTAGCCCAGTTATGCCCCCCTTGTGGTCGCTTGCATATGTGTCGTTCTATCCTGCACCCATACCCTTAGTTAGCACCCCTCGCCACCAGATGGCAAACTGTCATTACACATATATAGATCATAAAAATATATAACATGAAAAAAATACTTCAAAATATTAAAGAGGAATCCATTGTTTTTTGTGCTTAGTTATTATTGTGCATTTAAGATTTTTTTTTTACTACATCCTTGACAGCTTCTGCAGCCTCGCGAAATAATTCCAAGTTTATTGAGCACTTTACACAACCTCTGTATTTACCAATAATAGAGTAAATCACAAAAGAAAACGGATTTTAAATCGCGATTTATAGTGGTCATCACGTGGGGAGTGGGAGAACACTTGAAGAGAGTGCATGAGGGCTAGCCAGAACGTTGAGCCCCCCACCACAATGGGGAGTGGGGAGAACATGGGTGGTGGTGGTGCCGTCACTAATGGCCGATAATTAAAGTGGGTTTATCAGCCGCAAGAGACGCCGTCCGCAGTTTGCCATATTTAGGCCGCTTATTATTCCGCTGATGCAATTAAAGCGTGATGGATTGGTGGGCTGAAATGATATCTGGTAAAGCCATTAGCGTGAGCGATGAGGGGTGCGGTTCGGCATCTGTGTTGTGCGAGTGGGCACGGAAATGTAGATGGATTCTGGGGACCAGGGGTTGGGATGTAATACAGCGGGGGGGGGGGGGGGGGGTTGGAGATGGTTAAGTGGGTGGGTGGTAGCGTGGCGAGGAGGAGGGTTTGCAGGTGTTCTTCTTGCACAAGTAGAGGAATGAACTGTGGGGCCATGGTGGCCCAAGCGTTAGGTTCAATGTGCTGCCTTGAACTACCACTGCCAGCTTGCCTTTGTGCCCCAATATGGCAGGTATTTTACCTCCCACCGTTTCCTACTCCTCGTGACCTCTAGTATACCTGCAAACATAGCGCTCAAGTGTGAAGAAATACAAACTTGTTCCTATGCATCATCTTTTCCCTCTAGAGTGTGGTCGTAAACGTTCATGGGAATTCACCAGGGTTCCTTATCTAGAGCCCCAGGTTGAGGAGAAATGAACGAGCCTGAGTTGTCTGGGGATTCCATACCCATTGTGTGCAATGTACATAATTGAGTGATTGATCGCTTTATGTGAGCTTCATAATGAATCTCTTTTTCACACTTTACTCAAGCTCTCCATGGGAAATGTGAACTGGCCCACTTTTGCTTTGACTGTAAATTACTTTATTTGTCATATACTATGATGTGATATTGATGTTCAAATCATTACAATAACCGTTGAATAAAGTAATTGGACTTTGGCAGAGCAAGTAGCTAGATAGAATGATGGCTGGTGGTCAAGACTAACGACAGAGTGACAGACAAAAGGAGGGAACGCACTTAAGCGGAGG